TTCTACGACACAGGCCGACATACAAATTCTTCAATACTTGAAGTTTGTTGAAGTTTGTTTGTGTATACTATCTCTATATTGTTGTATTGTAGGCGTATGAGAGAGTCAGAAACAGCATCCACAATGAGAGAATGTGTGCGTGGCATAAACGGTTTAATTGATGTTATTGCTTTCAACTCTAATTGATAAACTTTTTGAAATTCTTAGAACTGAAATCCACAATGAATCACGACCTTAAAAAACGAATGCCTAATATTGAAACTTAAATGAACTACGTGGACTTTGATTCTCAATATAAGGGGTACGTAGGCACCTTAATTGACACAAATATAAGGGGACTTTGATTCGCAATTGTTTCCGTTATAAAACATCTTTCTCAAATACATATGTTAATTCAACAGTATCTTGAGTTTCATCAACGTCATCATGCAATCCGACTTCAATACAAAATCTGGAGTAATATATCCGTTCTTTTTGTTAGTATCCTCAAGGATGTTACTTAATAGATGTTGTCCAAGTTATCGTCTTTGTTGTGCAAGATGTTGATACTATTATCCCACAGTCCCATACGGGTACATACCTTTTCATGCATAACTGGTACCGTTGGATAATGATATAAAACTAATGTCAAATGTTGATGACTCAACTGCAAGTTTACCATAACATTATTTTTACATCTCTTTTCTCGACATTGACAGCATAATATGTAATGGAGAATATTGACCTGATATCATTGTCCTAAATGAAGTTAATGTTTTGAGTTCATCTTCTAAAGTTCAAATATTAACTCAAAAACATTAACAACAAAAGGGAATTGTGATGTGACGTCAATATTTATTATTATGTATTATTATATTATGCTTTCAATTCTAAATTTCGCCTGCTATGGCACAAACAACAAAACGTTTATACATATTTAGTTATCTTTTGAATTCTTAGTTGACGTCGAGCAGAGGAACGCAAAATAATGTAATGGTAAAGTTGCAGTTGAGTCATCAACATTTAACATTAGTTTCATAGCATTATCCAACAGTACAAGTGATGCGTGAAAAGGTATGTACCCTTATGGAATTGTGGGATAATAGTATCAACATCTTGTACGCCAACGATGATAACTTGGAAGACAGCTTCAATTAAGTAACATGCTTGAGGCCGCTAACAAAAAGAACGGATATATTACTCGAGACTGTGTATTGGAGTCGGATTGCATGATGACGTTGATGAAAATCAAGATATTGTTTAACTAACATAGTAAAATTGAATTTCGCAACTCCTACGAAATAACACTATACCGGCGGAACCGCCGATCAATCAAAACCGGTAATACATCTCAACATATTTTTTATTTACCAAAAAAAAAGAAAAAAATAAACCGGGAACCGTCGGAACCGGCCCGAACCGGTCGAAAACCGGCGGGTCGAAGAACCGGCGGGGTCCGGGCCCGAACCGGTCCCGGACCGTCACTTTTTTTGGTTCGGGTCCGGGCCTCGTCCATGTGGACCGTGGACCCGGCACCTGGCCACGTCTACTTCGAGGTTGCTCGACCGATGATGCAAACCGGTCTATTCCTCAGCTATATAATATCTCATATCATATATATATATATATAAGTATAAAAAAGTATATAAAAAATAGGGTAAGACTACAATCTCGTTATGGAACCATTCCGTTGGATTTGTAACAGTTAGATCAACTATCATTGACGGTTACTTGATGATCTAACGGTTGCAAATCCCAACGGAATGGTTCCGTAACGGGATTGTAGCATTTTCCTAAAAAATAATACTTTCTTTATATATTTTTGTTATAAATTATAGTTAAAAAAAATATATGAGTTTAAAGAAGTACATGAAAAATAATATGTTTTATATATTTTTTGCTAAAAAATATACTTTTTTTCCTAAAAAATAATACTTTTTTTATATATTTTTTTTATAAATTATAGTTAAAAAAAATATATGAGTTTAAAGAAGTTTATGAAAAATAATATGTTTTATATATTTTTTGTAAATTATAGATTTAGCCCATGGGTTAAATTGAAATATAACAAAAAAATATTAAAATTGCCTTTGAGTCCCTCTTCTTTATCAAATTCTCAACATCAACCCCCTAGATCCAAAAGCACCATTCACAGCCTGTCTGGCCATTTCGGCCGCCGTTTTTGCCGCATGAACAACCGGGATGAGAGGACTGTGCCGACGCAGACGACCTTCTCCGGTTGATGCCGTCGGAGATGACTACCTTCTCGACGTCGGAATCGAGCTACAGTTCCGGCGAACAAAAAGAAAACGACAGCGACGACGCTCGTGTTCTCCGGCATTGGCGACGTCTGAATTGGGCGGCGGCACGGCGTTCTTGTTCTCGGGAATCGCCGGCCGGCGGATGTACAGAAATTTCGGCGACGGCGTTCGTGGTCTCGGGCATGGGCGAATGGCTCGGTGGCTGCGGCGGCAATGTGTGGTGGCCAGTGGTGAGACTGGTGGGGCCATGTGCGTGTGTGTCGGTCTATGTGCGTGTGTCTGTGTGTGTCTGATAGGGGTGTGTGTGTGTGTTTAATGAGTGAGAGAGAGATGAGTTGGTAGTTTTAACAGCTGGGAGGATTTGATTGGTGTGGGGGAGAGTGAGAGAGAGAGAGAGAAAGAGACGGCTGGTGGTTTTTAATTGGGTGGAGTCCACTGATTTGTTGAATTATTGTGTTGAATTATTTATATGATAAATGTCAAAAATATCTTCAATGAATTACTCGATTCAATAATCACGATGTATTCTCATTTCTTTCATTGAGCATCTTTCTCACTGGAGTGCATCTCTATATATATACACACACAATGGGAATCAAGACAATTAAAACAAATATAAAAAACTATTAAAATATAAAAGCGTGACAAAAAAAAAAATCTGAAATTATTGATTAACCTAGCCTCAAATGAAAAATAAAAAGTTTCAAGTGCAATTTTAGTTTTGGAACAAATATCTCAGTACACTCAGAGAGGATCAGGTGAAAGAGGTTAGGGTGGATAGCCATATATTTAGTTCTGTGATTTCTGGTTAGATTGTTCTTTTGACTTATCATGCAATACACCACATTTAATTTATTTGCTTTTTTTTTTTCTTTTTTCTTTTTTCTTTTTTANATGTATTTTTTTTTCATGCCGGACCGGACTGGCCCGACCCGCTGGGCTAAAGTCGAAAAAACAAGACTCTGGATCGGCCCAATTGAAATCCGAGTCGGGCCCAGACCCTTGGTCAACGAGTTTGATCGGGCCAAAAGGCCGTGTGACTCGTGGCCAGTCTAGTGACAGAAAGTCTAATACCTAAGCTACAAAATATGATTTATAGGGTTTTAATGAGTAATAGAGTACTTATTGCGTTTGAGTTTTTTGGTGATTAGATCTTTTTTATTGAAATAATTATGTGATTAAAATATTGTCATTATTATTATGTTAAATGTAAAGACATTTTAGTCCGTCTAATATTTTACAAAATCATTATTCCTTTTATAACAGTATAGATCAAAATACATTCAAATATTATAATTTAAAGATAACATAGTTGGTGTACGATACATTTGTATTTGTATTATCTTGTTTACACTGTAGTCCATACCGTTGAATTTAACCTAATGATATTCTTTAGTTTTTAATGTGTGCATATTTTTCTTATATTTGTTTTAGATTGTGAATAAAACAAACTGGAAAAGCTAAATAATCATTATTCAATACTGTATGATTATCATGAAATTTTACTTGGAATTTCTCTTGACCGGGCGTGGATTCATTCTCCTAAGAGCGTGCTTATCAATTTGAAATAAAATAACAAGTCAGACTTAACAAACGTTGTCTAAGAACGAAAGGTACCAAATATGATTAACTGATCAAATTCTAGATACTGAAATTGATTAAATTAAAATTGGTAGTACCAAAGTGAAGGTTAAATCAGCTTTTCATTATAAAATTTTATGCGCCTCCAACAATTTGTTGTATTTCTCCACGTGATTCAATTTGCAATAAATAAAATGCATTCGTTTTATTTTGTAAATTTGAGAAATGTCGTTATCTTTTACCATAAAAAAATAAATAAATAAAAAATATGCAGCTCAGAATCAGATTTCATTTTTTCATTAAATCGTGATGCGGTCTTCGAGAGTGCCGCATGAGACTTCGGTCAACCGCTTTGCAAATTAAAAAAAAATGATATTCTGAAGTTTCGACAAAATAGTGATATTAGATAATATTTTATGTGTTGTATATCATTAATATTAATCTTGTGCATATATACCGATTCAAATAAAATTTTATATTTTATATGTGTGTATAATATTTAAAATCATAGTTAGACAATGATCGTATCATATTTGATAGTTTATCATTAGCGAATGAATAAAATAAATGATAAAAATATAGATTGTTTAACATATATATAGATTGCAATACAATTTTTGCAAATTTAGTTGATTATGACCAATTAATTAAATAAAAAAAATATTAAAACAATTATTATAGAAATTGTGTACAAAATTTTATAAGTTTAGTTATGCCATAATAAATAATTAAGTAATTAAAAAAAACTTGCTTAATGAGCTAAATTAAGTTTGGTCATCCTCTTTTTTTTGTTTTCCGTTTTGCTTTGTTTTTTTGTTTTTTAGTCTTTTGTTAATAGACTATGTCCCTTCGGGTTCAGTGGTTTGTTAATTTTATTGCTAATTTTGTTGCTTTGCTATCCTTGGGGTAGTTTGGTTGTGGAATTTTGTTTTTGTCCCCGAGCTCGGAGCCTCTACCTATGTCAGGGACGGCTTCAAACTTCTTTTGCTATTTAGGGAGTGTTTCCTCCTCGGTTGTATTTATTGGGTTAGCTGGCCCCGAACTTTGTATTTTCTTAAGTAATTTATCTTGTCATTTCAATAAATAAATAATCGAGTTTATAGTTTCTATTTATCTTTTTAATTATTATATGATTGCCTAGATCTATCAATGAATAGGTACATGTGGGCTATGACTAGTTCCAAAAGAAATGTTCATTGGTACATTTGGACTAATTGACAAGTTCAAAAATTACTCGAATCAAATGACTGAAAGAAATAAGCAAAAGAAACAACCACAGTTTAAGCGTATTGGACTGGTTGGATTTTTACATCTCATGGTTTCTTAGAAATTCAAATTCCCAACAATTCCCCAACAAACTATTAAATAAAATGACGGAAAGAGGTATCAATTTACATTATATGCATCATTTCATACATCCTGTGAAAATTACAGTAGTGCTCACAATAGACGCAGGGAATATACCTATCTTTAAAGTATAAACAGGATCCATTTTGCAATTTTCACTGCACAAGCGTCAGGATAGATGAAGATATACTGATGAATATGGCATCACATATATTCTATTTTTGGTGATATTGCTTGTATAACTGACACTCCTTTATTCTGAGCTTGCATCTCAGGAGTCCGAATCCAGCCTTGGCACGATTGCGGATGATAACTCTATATGAGAAACTCTGACCGCACCAATTAGCCGCTCGGGCAACTCCTCAGTTGTATTTGCCTTAACATTGCACCAAATTTCACAACCATTAGACCAAATACAAAATATAGCTTCGCCCATGCATATGCAAGCGCACCACATATGGCTAAACGTACAAGTTTAGTTTTTTTTTTACCTTTTTACATAGAAAAGTGATTGTTGTGATTTATAAAGAAAATATTAGGAAATAAATATCTGATTTGATGCAAATTTCTCAACGATCAATGAAACGTGAAGACTCTTTTATCGAAGCTTTTGTTTTATTTGACATGCGATGAGATTAAGCCAAGAGCCGAGTAAATCACCAGTTGACATATAAATACCTGAACAAGAAAAGCCATGTCAACCACGAGTGTCGTGATAACGCCAATTACAAGGCCCAGGACTCCATTTGCCACAGTGGAAGAACCAATATCAACATCAACCTACAAAAAAACAAGACACCAATGAGGAGCTGATATCGGTCAAAATAATTAGACCTACAAAGAGAAACCCTACTTCCATGTACTTAGGGCCACGGATATAATTGCAATCGACTGCCTTCCCGAGCAAACAAGGTGTGCTGCCAACACTCTGACGTACAATCCAAGAACCCTACATGATGAATGAAAAATCAAATCAGATACGAGTGTTAAATTCGCACTAGTGAGGACAAAAACTTTAAATATTAGGGTATGTTAATACTTAGAATAGCAATCGGTAGAAACTGCTCCACCTACTCTAAGAGTAAAATACAAAGTCAATGCATGTTCCCCTATTGACTTGAGATACAAAAAATCATCCCCTCAAAGCATCATTTGCCAGGAATCTAGAGCCACCTGTATTGTCCTCAATATATTTAAGCCCATTTTCAGAGATTCAGTTTTAGTCAGGAAATTCACAAAACTGTTCTTTAGTTTCAAAAGATAATATAATGCAATTCATAATTAAAAAGGAACACAGAACATATAACATACCTCATTTTACATTTGTGCGTAAAAAATATCTGTTCATATAATAAAAGTACATTGAGATTCAATTAAACATCCCCTTGTCCAAATATTCTACTTCAGGTAATTGTTGGGCAAAGTCGGTCACTAGCAACAACAATATCCACACGGAATGGAATTAATTCTTACAAGTCAGTTCATTAACTGAAGCAGTAGCTCCACATAAAAGTTCACTACAGCTCTATTACAAAGGGAAAAACAATAAGTAGATACCTTAGGAACTGATGGAATAAGCTTCAGTCTACTGTTGCGAAACTCGTCATCCCCATCTACAAATCTCTGCAATAGAGATCCTGGTACTAATTCCTTCGTAACAAAATAAAACACCATGCTGTAGTGGGTCGATCCTGGTACCTAGAAGAGTGAAAATGTGTTAATCTACACACCACCTAATACGATGTCTAAAACGGGAATCAGCCACATAATCAACTCACTTGCAGATTAAAGACAATAGAGAAAAGTCCTTTATCCGATGCAACCTGAAGAGGACAGAAACACAGTGTCACTTGCTATAGCTACAAGTTGCCATGAAACAACTAAAAATTAATCAAATTTTAAATTAGTAATCATGAAAAATTGTGTGGTCAGAAACGAAAGCCACTGAAGGCCAAGCAACTGAATGCAATATAGAAGGCCCAGGAGAAAACTTACCTGTGCTGCACAACCACTACGCCTAGCAACATGATCCATTCTTTTCGTATCTTTGAACCAGTCCACGGCAACAAGATCCATAAGATGCTTGCCAGCAGGAATCTTCAAAAATATGTTGCAAAAGTTTAATGAGATTAAGGCAAGCAAATTTAGGCTGCTGCACAAGAACAAAACATAACCAGAATGCATCCGCTCGGAAAACAAGTAACTATTAGTTTACCTTTGATTTATCATAACAAAAACGCTTGCTACGAACTCTGAAGTTGTTCCCATCGGAAATTGTCCAGCAGTTGCGAGACTTGTCATGGTCATCACGACGAAGGTTACCGGAGAAAATGGACAAGTCTATCTGTTCCACAGGTTCTTCTTCAAAGGCTTCAATTTTCATAATAATTTTGAATTAAACTGCAGTAATTTAAGTTTAAAGGAATGTATAAAAGAGTAAAGAATCATAAAAGTTCAGTATGTACCAACTCTTTTCTCTTCGACCTCAACTGTAGATCCCAAACCCTGTGCATCATCGAATCAAAAGGTAAAACAAAGCGAACATACCAAAATATCAAGTATATAAACCTGAAATAATGTAAAAAGTATAAGCAAAGACGGAACCTCTTGATCAGCATACTGAAGATCTTCATCCTCATCCGAGTCTTCATCCATCAATACGGCATTTCTATTAGCTGCATGTATCTGATCGAGTGATGCACTGCGATGATGAACAGAAGACATCTGGTGTTTCTGGGTCCTCTTTGAAGAGGTCGATAATGATGTCATATTGACCATAACAGGGATCCGTGGTGCCGCAGTCCTCTCGTCAGTTTGAGAAAAGTATTCTCGCAAACCTGTGATAGTAGGAACCTGATTATCATTCTACCAAGAGCAGAAAAAATTATCATTCTCTTCAGATTTTCTTTGAACTTTTCAGTTTCCACGGAAGAATGGTCTACAGAAACAGGAAAAAGAGATACCGCCATGCTTAACACCAAACAGAACCAGGGATCATAATCCAGTGGATTAACCTTAATAACCAGCACCATGTCCAGTTTGGCAAATTTGTTAAAACATAACGAGTATAGGTAAATAGATAAGGAAGCTCAAGCGACATCATTGATTAGTTATAAAAACATTGTCCAAAAATATGAGAAGATAACTTAATTTTATCCCAAAATAACATCAAACTATGAGATCTCACCAGCTACACTATTCAACATCTGAAGGAGACAATGTTGCTGGAACCATGATATATAGCCTACTCCCCATCCTTTTAGATCAATTTGCATAAGATGCTGGACCTGTGTTCTGGGCCTCCCATTACGAGGTTTCAAAGGTGAAATGTTGAATCCTCCACCTGAGATCATTATCACCTTAGGCTTTCAGCACTGCTAGAATTCTAAATATAATTTGACTCATCTGAAAACAAATAAAAAAAAATAACTAACAGCAACGCTTCAAAACGAAGCACCACCGAACTGTTACATAATAGCATTGGAAGATGAATTTACTTTCAATATGAGCACGCACAAATCCAGGTTGGGGACCGCAGTTCATATGCTCCCTAGAACGAAATAAGACAACTGCAGAGAACCAAATGTGAAAACTTATGTCAGAGCAGAAAACTAAAAACACGACGGTAAACATAGGAAAGGCCTCAAAGATTTACCATAACTCCCATCATCATTTCGACGCCAGTAGCGTACATAGCAGAGGTCACGAGGCCATACAAACCTGTTATTGTTTATGATAGGATGAATGACTTTTGATACAAGACAAGATATGACAGATTCTAAAGATGCATATAGCGAGTACAAACAGAATATATTGGTGATTTGACTAGTAATAACATCATTTTACAGGATACAGGTACCAGACCATGAGAACTACATAAAACAACATATTTCCATTGGGGGAAGTCTAACACTAACAAATATTTTTATCACAAACGATAAATAGCCCAACTGTATTGATAATAGAAATTAAAAGAAAAGAAACAACAATAAGAACTAATCAAGCTTGATCTAATATCAGATAAAAGGCATAACAAAAGAAACAAGAAACACGGAAAGATAACTAGTTTTTGTCCCCAATTGATTCATTAATCTTCCAGTAGTGGTCCATGAGGCAAACATAGCATACAGAATGCCAATACTAACAAAAATTGAGAAACTAATATGTTCAGGTACAAAATCATGAAAAGAAATAGTTTTGCCTACATTTAAGAACCTCTTTTTGTAACTTTATAATGAAGATTATTCCAAATTAGGTGCTATGGAAGGAACAGCATAAAGGCAATGAAATATAAAAACAAATCAAAAGCAGATCATCAAAAGGACACATTACGTCGGAAACCAATCTAATTGAAGCCTGTGGTATAGTATTGCTGTATGTCCATCTACTTCTTCAACTAAGCTACCATACTGGAAACTGCAATCCCACCTGCATGCACAAAACAAAATATTGTTGAAAACTGCTAACTAAGATTGCAGGTTTAATTCATACATTGAAGCACAAAAATGATATATTCCATGATGTATTTTCCCACATTTCTTCCATTTCTCGTTTTTTTTTTTTAATCCATTACTGGTATCATCAACAGAGAAAATGATTAGTCCTCTGCATTCTGCAGTGTAAGAATAGAATTACAGATAAAAAACGCCATTAACCCAAATATAAACTCAGTCTCAGATGGCAAAGATAATCTGTACAACGGCAGCAATATTGATAATGAATATATATAATGTATGAAAAACTAACATGCGTTAGTAGAAAAAACTTCTCGAAAAATATTTTCATCGGCTCGCTTTCAACAAGAAGCATAACGATTGGGATTTTTCAAAGTGAATGTCAAGTCAACTATAACTAAACCTACTCGCATCGTGTTGCATCCATGCTCATTACTAGTTCAAATATTTCTTCACAGGTAGCCTCCACTACCCCAACAGCTTTCATTGCTCTACTACAGCTCTTTGGCTGCACAAAAATAATTAGAGGAATAGAACACTGAAGCATCCATGTTTAGCAAAGACAATTGGAAGTACAAACAAAATGCAGTATGCTCTTACAAGAAAGTCCACTTCAAGAAGCTCCTCGAAAATACGGAGACCTAGAATATAAAGACAAGAAATGTTGATATATGTATCATATAAGAAGCATTCACAAAATTAATAATGACAATATAAGATATATTCAAAATTATCCACATGTACTGAAACATTTAGTAAGTTACAAAAATCATCGCACCATTTTGACACTGGAGAAGGCGCCAATACTTTCTGGAAAATGCTTGGCTGTTAGAGTTTTGATTAGCCAAATCTGAATCTAGTTCCTTTGTCCAGTCGAAAATAGACTCTGGGGGACCTGTTACAGGAAATTGGTATTATATTTTCCGTAGCATAATAAAACAAAAAACTATTCAGAAGGGATAGTTAACAGATTTGGAGACCATTTCCTATTGTTGTTCTACGCAACAAATTCCGGTGAGAATCTTCTTCATCTTCAGCAGCACTAAACCTACAGTGACGAAGGGAAAAGAAAGATTAAACTAAATAAGAATGATCGAGCATTAGGATTTTTTAAATATTGGTTGCAGCAGATAACGATGGCAACAATGCACTTAATTTTATACATGCAATAACATAATTAGAGTCGTGACGAATCTGGAGGTTCTGTTTGAAAAGGTTATGAGAAGATATTCAGTGTGTGAAACAACTATTGATACAAGTAGACAATCCTAAATCCATCTTACTGAACAACAAACCCATTTCAACATGGGTCATCAATATAAAAATATATTGTCCCTCGGTTTTATTCAAAATAATTTGACAGAGCTCTGTAAAGCCTGTACTGAGGAAGAGTGTATGACAGAAGGGAAAGAGAAATGAAAAGAAATAATTAACAATCCTCAGAGTCCGCAATATACATACTAAACGGGGGTGCAACAATATCAAGAAAAAAAAAAGGAAATTATGACTTCTGTAATCCAATTCCAGTTCATCTATCAAAGAAACCATAATAAAATGTTCACATGATTTGACCAAAATAAGCTTAAATTTCAAAGTTTTTAATATTTTGACAAATGATTATTCTGTAATACATGGTAATTTCTTACAATTCCAGCACTTTGATAGATAATGATATACTAACCTATCCAGGACAATACATAGAGATCTTAATGCACCACAGTTCTATCAAATAATTCTAGCTCTCCTAAAGATTAGAGTTGCTAAAAGAAACCAACGGCAGCAATCAGAAACCCAGCTTCAACTATAACTGCAGCCCTATCCTAAATCATTTTAATGATGACTTTCAGCTCCACATCTGGCAAGAGAGTTCAAAAAAGCAACATCCTCGAAGCTATGGAAAAGCCATTAACTTATCTCTTGAAAAACAGCCCCTGGTCCTTCTTCAGACCACCAAAACACACAGACTATCTAGTCCTAATTCATGGATCTACTCTTTTAAGTCTTTCAAACATATATTCCCTTTCTGTACACAACGTCATAATTCCAAAGGAATATTGTCCTTGGTCTAAGAAATTTTGTAATACCATTTCTTACAAAGCTTTAGGAGAAAGGGAAAGTAGGATATACAGTCACCTAGAGAAGCAAGTTACGAATATATCTGTCTTCAAAGTAAAGCACTACTTACTGACTCTCATGATCGGATGATGAAGCAGCCCTCCCATTATCCATACCAGATTTATATTCGAAGGATTGATATTTGTTACCGTTCATAGCTTGGGACTCTTGATGCTGCACACCAACAGTTATCAGTAAATGAGATATTAAGACAAATATCCAAGGAAAATGTCACTATCACAAGCAGAAAATATTCATTTCAAACAACAAGCAAATACAGAGAGCGGACAAGAAACCTGATCGATAACAGATTCAATTTTCTCTTTCCAAACGAGAGCCTCCTGAATGTTGAAAGCTGCCATCTGGAACTTGAAATATCAACAGCTAAAATAAGTTGCATTCCCAACATAAAGCTCACAACCATAAGTATTTCTTACTTGGAGCCAAAATCATAACTTAGTAACATTTCAAGGGTAAAAGTTCAACCGACATAATGGTCATTACTTAGATGAATAATGAATCACATGCTTACCCAGTAAAAATAGCTCTTAAGCCACACAAAAAAAATTCTTAGCAAATGATGCTTTAAATTTGTCGCCCTTCTGGCATATTACATATTATAATACAAGCAAATTGATGTATCCGCGTCGCACTTTCTGGTGTATTATGTTAATCTATTTTATTTTTCCTGGAGAACATCGTAGCTTCAGGTGTTATTGCACATTCCCCAAATACTTATTAGGCTGTCATACTATTAACAAAATAGAAGACTAGAAAAAAAGGGACGGTTAGGAAAAGAACTATGGAAGATCCAGTAATTGTTCAAACATAAAAGGTGATAGATAAAAAGGAAAAGGAGAGAAAAAGTAGCAATAAGGACAAAGGTCTGTCTTAATTACTAATGATAATGGAGTAAATTAAAACGTGCAGAAAGTACATCAAAAGGTTCCAATTCATTATTCATAATTTCATCAAAGGTCTTCATTACTAATGAGAATGTATCATTATCAAGGAAATCTTTACATATATATTCAAGCAAAGGTTCCGACTAATTATTTCTTAATTTCTTCAAGTTTGGAAGAAAATATTATAAACAGCGTCGTTATGCATGTGCAAGTAAAATAATTCAATAAACAAAAAATACACTTGGGAAGTATAAATAAATGCAACTATAAGTCTGTAAGGAGCGCACCGTAATTCTGTTATATTTCTCTTTCTTGTTGTAAACAGACAGCACGTACACCATCTGCCCAAATAACCAAAACTTGTGAAAACAAATGCAGTACCAGCCAACACGTCATTATGAACGTCCGAAGCATCAAAAACTACACAGATATTTAGCTTCAACTCTACTTCTGTTAACGCAGAAATGATAGCCCAACAACATTAGCTATGCATCTTCATATGCAAAACAAAAGGGAAGGAGAAAGAAAGCTAAACCCACCCCAAAATAACTAGAGTTTGGCCTTGGAATATAGAGATAAGCAGTTTTTTCACTGGTTACTGATACCTCAGACTAGAGTAAAGTCAATAAACACAAAAAAGACAAAACCTACTGCTTTTGAGTGTTGGGAAACCAGCACCCCAAGAATTTAGTGATATCAGATTTTTAAGTGGAATAAACATGCTAGTTGTGAACTATTCTGCTACATACACCTATATATCCCAGAGACCCATGCTAATCCATTTGCTCCAGTAACTTTTTACCATTGTATATGGAATCAACTATGAACTACGTATACTAAACAATTGAGCCAATATTTCCAGGTAACATTAGAAAAGTAAACTGGACTTGATGTTGATTTGCAAAGTAAGAGCATCAGTATGGAAATATATGACACTAGTCCTATGCATTAAAAAAAACTTGTAGCAACCTTGACGGTGTTTGGTTGCCACTATGTGTCCCATTTTAATACTCATTCATCCTTGTTCGACAACTTTTCTTGGATACATCTTACTAGAAAAATCATCCCCAACTTTTGCCAGGAGAATTACATGGAGGCACCCTCCAACTTTCTCATGTCCATCCCAAGTCCCATCACATAAAATAGTACCAAGGCAAAAGCCTTAGTACCTTCATTGACTGTTCAGATTATCGTAATAAGATTAAAGTAGTGTGGATCATCAACCTCACATTTTCACCTACTAAAATATGATATATGTTATATGTGCATCTCTTCCACCAATAATACAAGAACGATAAGCAATATGAAAAAACGCAAACAGCGAGTGATATCCTTTCAAGTTTTCAACAAAGTAAAAGAATTTCCCAATATCAAATGCTGAGACTAAATAATGTTGTATGTGAGGTTTGCTCTGATCATCCAGGAACTTAAGACCACTCTAAATCTGAGCATAGGAATAAAATGCTGCTCCAGTTTTGAGTTTCAGTCAATCAACTACCAAAATCATATAGAAGGTAATTCAGCAAGTGAAATATAAATATAAAAAATGTTAATGCAGCTCACATGTCCATGATGAGTCTTCAGTCCTCGGTCCTCCACCCTACAGTTGCCATCTATGACAAGAGTCTTAGTGGGCACCTTTACCACATAAGAAAGAGCAAAAGAAATATTATTTCGCAGCACCTTGAGGGCAATCAACATTTCTACACAACAATGTCAAATGCTCATCTCTGGAAACAAAATATAATTCTATAACTTAGAATTACAGCGAATTGGATCATATAATTGTGTATTCCGTTGAACTGCAATTCTAAAAAAGAAGAGCATACAGCGGAACATGATCTTTAATCCCCATAATCAAACAAAAAATCATACAAAAAAAGTACTAAACATAAATGAAATCCCTGGTCACTCACCACATTATCCTGGGGCTTCTTCTTGTAGTATGCCAACAATCTAGACTCGAGCACAAAATACCTCATGTGAATAAATGACCTTCCAATCTTCCTGCGTCCATACCTGACCATCCATCCTTCGTAAACAACCTTCGAATTCGACATCTCCACCAAATCAATAAGAGTTCTCTCAGTCACTTGGTATTTTCTTCTTAGTCTGAGGAGCAAAATTGTTGTATGCTCCTCAATCTTCAGCCAAAGGAATTACAGAAGATACATAACAATACAGCAGCACAAAAGAATCTTCACTCTCTTCCAATGGATCAGTGACCGGTGACCATACTGGAAATATCTCCGATCAATTAAAGTGACAAAAATTGAGAAAAGTTTAGCCAAATCGCACACTCACACAATCAGTCTCTCAGTTCACGACACACTTCAACTGAGAAACCAATCACAACTACAAAAAGTTCAGTTCCTTCCCAAAAACCTCACCAACCAATCAGCGATCTGCAGATTCAGAAAAAGGCGATCTACTTGCAGAGGCCAAGAAACACCGAAAATTCAAACAGCTTAAAGCGACAACAAAGCAAAGGCTAGATAGAATTTCCCCGTGCAAGTGCCAGAATGAGTACACGCCTACGAATGTACAGACAAGCACGTCGTGTACGATAAAATTGTTCATCTACATACAAATCAAAAAGGTTTGTAAATGGAGAGACAGAGAGAGAGGGATTACTGTAATGGAATTACTGCATTTGTGGCGCTCGGTCGTGCCAGAATCTTTAAAATTCACCACTCAACCAAACTAATTACTGCATATCTGAAATTAAATGTCGATGTGAGCAAAAGAGTAAATGAGCGTGTGTAAATGAGAGGGAAAAGTAAGAAGTAAATATATTTACAGCGAGTGATCTATTGAGTTCTCGAGCCGCCGAATCAGTTGAATACGCAGGCAAGTTCAGAGAGACGCTGGAAAGCTGAGGAAAAATTCAACTCCAAAAAATGAAACGAAAAGAGAATAAAAGAGGACGACATATTATTTCTCTCATTGCATATCTGGTCCGGTGCACATAAGAAACTCATATTTTAAACATTTTTCTTAAATTTTATTTTAAATATATGATTATTTATATTTTTCATATTTCATTTCATAATAGAAATAAAATAAATAAAAATTTATATCATTAAGCACATCTCTTTACACAATATTAGAAATTTGGCCCAATCCAATTACCTATCTCGAGCTCATGGAAGTCTTGGTCCAATTCCCGTCTGGGCTTGGCCCTTACTCACTTAAATGGCAGGATGTACTTGGACCGTTTGATTTAGGGGATTAAATCTCATTCATTCATTCAAGCCATAAATACCCTCTCACACCACTCTTGGCCTAAATCCCTTCACTCTTCTCTCACCTGCTGTTGCGTACAAACAGATTTATCTTTCTATGAGGAAAAACCCGATCGATCTCTCAATCTCTTTCTCTGTTCTTTGTGACCTTCGAGTGTGAGTGCCACCGAGAGCTCGTCTTTGTGTAGTCACTGTGCCACCGTGCCGTCGCCCTGCTCAACCCACCGGCTAAAGCCCTTGCGTGGGGCTTCCGGCGAATCTCTGTGCGAGAGGATGGGTTAGGCGACGGAGTATTTGGGTGCGTGGTGTGTGAGTGAGGTGCAGCACGGGGAACGGGTCGAGGAACCAGGGTTGCCACTGGTTGACCACCACCGAGCCGTGACTTACTGAGGGTGCCGAAAAGAAGGACGATATGAGCCGGGAGACTTCGTGTCTTCAATATCCGGCCAGATTCTGGTCAAAGGGGGTTTTCATCCCTTCTCTTGTATTTCCTTATTTTTTCAGCATATTACTTAGTGTAATTTTCCCTTTGATTATTGTTGTTATTAAGAATTAATAAGTGTATTTGGTTTCAGCTGAATTGGGCCTAAAACAGGCCTGAAAGAGACTGTTAGGATCAGCCCGGCTGAAAAGAAGGTTGTTCGGGAGCCCCCTGTTGGCGAGCAGCACCCTCGCAGGGCTCGAGAAGGATTGGTGCGGTCGAACGATTCAAAATGAAGCTTCCGCTGCCAATGAGTCAAGCGGTGGAATTGGGATGGCCACACAACACACAATATTAGTACAAACGCCGGTGAACTATACGGGTATTTCATAAAAAAACTAATTGTCCAACAAAAAGTGATAAAGAATTAAAAAAATTTATTGTGAAAGAAAAAAACAATAAATAATTAATAAGAAATTATTTTTTAAAAAAAATATTTATGATGTATAATTTGTTTTATTTAATATATATTTATTTTTATCAAAATTAAATATGATAATTAATTTATTCGGCAGTTAATTTAACACCCATGAACAAGACGTGTACTTGAAAATTAAATATTTTTATCAAAATAAAGAAGTAAAGAAATTTTATTATTATAATAGATTGATAAAAAAATAAAAAATACAACTAATAATTAAAAAATAATAAAGTTAATTATTTGAAGTGAACCCATGTCTTATACTCTATTTGTCAAAATGATAACTTTTTTAACCACACACATTACAACTCAATTATTTTATTTTGAATTAGTTTCATTTTTTTCAAGTTCGATTATATTGTACTTAGTTTTCTTCCCTCATCTAATAATTTTAAAATATCTTTAATTTTATAATATTCAAATAATTTAAAATATAATGTGTATAAGATTAAACTTTATGAAGTATAATAATTATTTTTATTATTCTAATTATAATGTTTATTTAGTTTGATTTCAAGATCATTATAATATTCACTCTCTATGTATTCTTTATTTAAGTTGAGACATAAACCTTATAATATTTTTATATATTAATTTGATGTTTATAGTTTGTTGCATACTTTTTTTATTAAATAAAATAACTATTTTATAGTATGTTAATATACATAAATTTCTATTATTTTATAAGATAATTTATAATTTTATTCGATATTATTTAGTGTAGTTTAATAAATAAGTTTAAATTGGCTTTATACTGGTATATATCAATGTTTTGTATTTTATATATATAATATGGATATCAAATCGAACATCGTTAAAAGATAATTAATTTGATATGTTATATATGAAAAATAAAATACAAACAAATTGTAGAAGAAGAAGGAAATGTAAGAAGAAGAAGAAACATTTATGAGAACTGATATATCAATTAAATAAGAAAAAGGAAATGTAACATATGGTAGTCTAGGAAAATGAAACGTAAAATAATTTATGATAACTAATTGAAGAAGAAAATAAGAAAAAAACCAATCATAGATTTAATATGAATAATATAAACATTAAATGAAATCCAAGACTAATTATTTTTGTATAAAAAATAATAATTTATATTCAAGCCTGACTCCGAAGCATGTTTTTTTGCCGCATAAAATTCCAAAGCGTGATAGTTCGCCACTTAGACTCAACGCATCTGGTAATTATATATATAGGTGATTTTTTATTTAAGAAGTATTATTAAACCTTGTGAAACGAGGGTATATAATAAGGAGTGCGCTAAACTGTGTCAGAACACAGAAATTTTGAATTACCAAATTGTGTGGCAACATCGAGATAAGTACTTTTGCGGAAGCACAAACAAGAGATAAAAATTCTTTAAAGCTCTTCGTGGAGCGTCCTACTACCCTCAGAGATCTTTCATTAATAGATCAATTGTGCACGGTCGTACAACTTGGACTTATGCAATTAGAACTTCATCCTAGTCTAGCCAACACTATACTCGATCCTATCAATTACTTCTCTGGCCACAACCAGTGGACTTTTACAAACTCGAATCCATCGAGCAAACCAATACTTAATCCCTAAGTATTATAACCAAGTGTTTGAAAGAGAATACGAAAAAACAAAGAAAACAATCTCAGTTCTTCAATGGTATAAGAACACCGAAACACTGAATATCAAAAATAAATCTAAGAACATATTATCTTGAACTCTCAATTGAATGCTTGAATATCTTGTGTATTCTAAAACTCTCAGCAGTCTTCAATTGATATTCAAGACGTAAACATATAGCTTCTCCTTTTCCTTCTAGGTTAACTTCCTTCTAAGCATAAGCTTCAAAACATGGTAAGAGAATATTTGATCTTGACCATGGTTCTTCTCTCTCTTCGTTTTATTCCCAAATGGCCGATCCGATCATCATTCCATACACACGTTCACTTTCCTACCAAATATAATCAAGTACAAGATCACACAATATCTTGCAATATTTATTTTAACAAGATAATATATACACTACATAAATCGGCGTAATATATATATATATATATATATAATTATAAATAATGAATATCTTCCCTTTTAATTTTCTTTACTTGCAAGATTATATCTTCAATATATTATTTTTGAATTTCATGCCAAAAATAAATCTTTCACGTTGTAGTTTTTGAACTTTTTTTCTTAACTCAGTTAATCAATCTATGATTGTTAATGTACAAAAAATGACGGAAAGAATTCAAACTTTAAAGTAAATCTATTTTTTAATTTTTTTTACAAATCAAGATCATTCAATTTTTTAAGTACTTTCATATCCCAATTTCAATGTATACTGCATACCAATTTATTCAATGGCCAAGTATTAGTCAAATTACTGACCGAATTAGAAGAAAGTCAAAAAAATTATCCTATATCATCACATTTCTTTCTTATTTATTTTTTTTATCAAACAATTAATAGAAAATCCTATTTTAGTTTTATATTTAATTATTATAAAATCAAATTCAACCTAATTAAAGTAACAATTTAAAATTACTGTAAAATAAGTTGTAATAAAATTAAAGGAACAAATTAGACACTAGAAAATTTGAAATTGAATAGAAAATCTCAATTTACGTTATCTCATTAGAAATTTGTAAACATATCAATTTTGTACATTCTGAAAAAAAACCATTAATGCAAACCAAACAACAAAACACGATAACCAGCAAGCACCAAAAAACACCACAAACCAACATTGATTCGTAACAAAAACATTAAAAAATTCATTTCATAATTCCTCCAGCTCCCACCTGAACCGCCCAGAATAAATAAAATCATGTGAACACCCAAGTTGTAAGGTAAGTAAGTAAACTACCTTCAAATAGACATGGCCAAACGTGACTCGGCCTGGCCGCCGGGCCTCCGGGTTGGGTTTCATGGACCCTGAACCGACACGGATCTATGCTCGTGTCGGGTCCATGACCCGATTAACCGAGCCAAGTTAAAGAAAGAAATATAGAATAATATAAAAAAATTAAAAAATAAAAAAAAATAGGTCATCAGCCCGGACCCGGCTCGGCCCGCCGGGCCAGGGTCATGAAATAATGACAGTGGAATGGCCCGTCGAAAATCTGGTCCAGGCTCAGACCCATGGTCAACGTGTTTGACCGGGCCGGGCGGCCCGTGGCCACATCTACCTTCAAATGATTCAATATGACCACTTGGAAGCGTGCGGGCTGTTTAAAAGTTTGACCCAACTATTTTGGGGTTCATAACGGTTGCCACCACGACCACCGCCATAGCCCCCATAGCCACCTCACCATTCCAATTGTCGTAGCCACAACCTTCATGTTGGCCTCCATAGCCACCATTATTGCCCCCACCAAAACCGTCGCCTTTGTTCTCACAACGCGACCCACCTTGAAACCCACCACCGCCGCCGCTACCTTGGTACTGAACCTTGTTCACGGTGACATTTCGACCGTCGAGTTCCTGGGAAAGAAGAAGAAATAATGAAAAAAGAAAAAGATAAAGAGAAAAAGAAGAGGGGGATGACGGGAAAGAGAAGAGTCATTAATATAAAATTTGGTACATAAGTATATTTAATGGCGAATCTTTAAAAATCTAATAAACAAATTTAAATTATATAACCTAAAAAAAAATAAATAATAAACGTTCATTAATGTATTTAAAAATATAATTTTGAATTTCAATAAAGTATAAGGCGGATAATTCAGGTTTTTCTTAAAAAGTTTATAAAATATTTGATATTTTGTTAAGTATATATGTAAGAATAATCGTACAATTTTAATTTCAAAACATTTGGTAAGTTTGTTAATGAGAT